GGGTGGTGCTAAGGGCCCTGGAGGAGGTCAAGGTGGGGCGTGGGAGAGACCTCGCTGACGCTGCCCCTCCCCTCCTAGTCTGCTGCCAGGAGAGCGGGCACCTGTTGTGCGAATTGTCAGACGACAACCACCACCTTATGGCGCCGGAACGCCAACGGGGACCCTGTGTGCAACGCCTGTGGCCTCTACTACAAACTGCACAATGTGAGTGCACCCCACCCCTCCCCAGGGACCTCAGGTCTTTGTGCAGCCCGGCCAGCGGCCCCAGCCACAATCTCCAGCTTGGCTTGGCTTGGGAAGCCGCAGCCGGCAGCCTGCTTGGCCAGCCCAGAGTGCCAGAAGGGCTTCCTGTAAGAAGGTCGCCTCTGCTGTGGAGGCGGGACCGGTGGGGGCAGGGCCGGCAGGGAACTTGTACCTCTGTCTTAGGAAAAGTTGGAAGCCCGGGAGGATTAGAGGGTACAGGGGTGGGACTAAAGTCTCCCTTGATATAACCAGTATAAAAGCGGTACAGGCTTTCAGCGGACTGGAAAGAGCGTGGGCTGTTATACCATGCAATCTCTTTTTCCTGAAAATGGTGACAGTGCAGGCTTAAGGGGACTTTGGTGAGTGACATTGGAGACCAGGCCCGAAGGCACAATTCCTGGCACCCTGGGGATATGTGTAACCCGGTCTCCCATGACCTGTGGAGAAGGGACTCATGGGTAGGGAACTTGTCCTAAAGGCTCCGTGGCTGCCCCCAGGTTAACAGGCCTCTGACCATGAAGAAGGAAGGGATCCAGACTCGCAACCGGAAGATGTCCAGCAAGTCTAAGAAGAGCAAGAAAGGGGCTGAGTGCTTTGAGGAGCTTTCCAAGTGTATGCAGGAGAAGTCGTCCCCGTTCAGTGCCGCTGCCCTGGCGGGACACATGGCGCCCGTGGGCCACCTCCCACCCTTCAGCCACTCTGGACACATCCTGCCCACGCCAACGCCCATCCACCCCTCCTCCAGTCTCTCCTTCGGCCACCCCCACCCGTCCAGCATGGTCACTGCCATGGGCTAGTCACAGCTTCCCACTGGACAGACATGGACTTCGAGGGTGGCTGGCAGAACCAGAGTGAGGTCGGGCACTCCCAGGATGGGTGGAACACACTTTTGGCTCCTGCTCATTCCAAGAGACCCACTTCCTCCTGCCGGCCTAGCCTGGCCGAAACCACCTCCTTGGAGGACTCCCAGCCTTGTGCCGCCATTACTGTGAATGTTTCTAACTGGGCTACAGCTCGTGTGCGCCCTGGGTGCTGCCCAGAAAAGTTTTTTTCACGGACAGTTGCTTAGAGAGCAAAACAGACAGGTTTATAGGAAGAAACAGGAGACTGGAGACAGAAAAATGAAACCATTTTTTGAAGGCAAAAAAATAATTTATTTTGCTCTTATTTCATACAAGGACGTGAAGACACAGAGGCACGGGCTGTTTGTGTTCTCTGGGGCCTACTGCCACCAGCCAGGGCTCTGGGGGGCAGACTTACAGGGCCTCAGCCTAAGCCTTCTCCCCAGCTGCCTGGAGGGTAGCCCCTGCCCTGACGCAGCCCTGGAGGGCAGAGACAATCGCAGGCGGTCCTGCACGGATTCCCAGGCCAGGGCTGGGTCACAGGAAGGAAGCATTCTCTGGAAAGGGGAAACGTCTCCCAGATCATTCCCTTGGCTTCGAGAGACCAAAGCTGGTGCGACCCAAATGGCCAAGTTGTGGCCTGTGTTGTTAGGCCAGCTGGACCCCTGTAAATACATCTTTTTTCTGCTAACCCCTCAACTCCCTCCCACTCTAAGATAAATAAGAGCATATTCAAACCCAAACTGCATAAGCTTAACTCACTGATGAGTGGTTTTATTTTTAAACTCATTTTGGGTCCAGTCAGTTGTACGTTGCCACAGAAGCCCCACCATGGAAAGGAATAAAACCTACAAACCAAGGCTGAGCTTCACGGTTCTTTCTTGAATGGTTCTCGAGTCCCATGGCCCTAGCAGGAGGTTGTGGACAAGGGAGAGCTTATGCTCTTGGTTGCTGGGGGACAGGGGCAGGCAGTGGTCCCATAATCCCTGGGGGGCTCTGCTCTCTTGTGGCTGGCTGGATCCTTCAAGGTACAGCTGTACATAAAATGTCTCCCAAGCTTCGATTCTGTGTGCGGCGGCGGCGGTGCGGCAGCCAGCAAGCGGCCCCTAGCCCAGGAAGACAATTGTGCTGACAAGTCAACTCCGTGCAATATTGGCGTCCAATTGCTGCAGAGCACCATACCCGGAAGTAACTTATTTTGTGTTAGTACCCGCATAAGAAAAAGAATCGGCAGTATTTTCTGTTTTTATGTTTTTGGCTCGTTTTATTTTTGAATTAGTGACCTAAGTTATTGTTAACTATGTACAACATTTAAATATTGTCTGTAAAAATTGTATGCTACCCTCCTATTCCTTTAAAGTGAATACTGTTAAAAATAATAAAATACTTTTTGTGAATGCTGCAGCCTGTCAAATGGGTCCCTGAGACTCCACATCCCCAGTGGGCTTTGAGCTGTCAGGTGGCCTTGTTTCTGCTATCTCTTGTCTTTCAGAGAGGCCCCATTTGGCTAAAGCCTTCTCCCTAGGGTGCAGGGGAAAGTACATGGGGATGGACAGGGCTCTTCTCCATCATCCTTTTCTGAGAGCCCAGGAAGGTGCCTGTTTGGGCTTTTCAAAGAGCCAGTAACTTCCCTGGCAGCACTCAGGTCCCCCCAGTTGTGGTCAGCTCTGGTTTCTAGGGTACCAGGTTGCCAACTGCGTTCATTAACAAACTTGATCACCCTGTCACTGATTGCTGTCTCTAACCAATGACCCATGACAGTTGCCATTACCAATATTCCGATCAATGCATCGGCCATCCTGTCCTTAGTGACTGCTAACCTATCACCGATATGTTATCATTGCATCTGATCAGTGACGTGTCCGGTCATAGCCCTGCACAAAAGTCATCTCTGGCAGTGATCTTGGCAATTGTCACAAATCATATGCCTAGAATCTCTCAAGGTTTCCCTTGGCCAACGTGTGGATCCCAGATACAGGCAGTCACTGGTGTCCTGGGCCACCAATGGTGTCAGTAGTGATTTTTTTGGGAGGGTGTGAGTTATGGGGTCTCTATGTTGCTCAGGCTGGCTTCAAACACCTAAGCACTGTGTATCTCCGTGAACTTCCTGCCTCTGACCACCCAACTACCCACATGCCCGTACCCTCTTCCTGCCACATCTCTGATGCTGTCCTCAGCTCTGGTATTGAGGCTCCTGAGAGCTCACCTCTAGTCACTATGATCCTGTTAGCAGTGTCAAAGTCCAATCCTAGCACCCCCATCCTCCAAAATCCCTTATCCCCACACTCCTGAATCAGACTGCTGGGTCATCACACGGAGCAGAAGGCTAGACTCCCAGCAAGGACCAGTGCCTCATCCAAAGTGCCACAGCCAGTCGGGGTGTAGTGGGTATCTCTGGGGCTTTGTCCTCAGGACACTGCCCTGGCAATGCCACCATTACCCTGTTCTCATCCTTTCCTGGGGAATAGATACCTGGGTCAGGCAGGAGCCAAACTGAAGCTTAATTGGGCTGCTGTGTCTCCCCCTGGGTACACTGTGGCCCCGGCACCACAGGACCTGGACCATACTGGCCTTCTAGCCTGCTAGTTGCAGCCACAGTGAAGGTAGGAGCAGCTTTCTGTCTTGTCTCCAGCCTTCAACTACAAGGTTGTGAGTTGATTTGATAACAGGCGGATCTGGGAGTAGGTATGCATGCACATGTGGGGTGTGTGTGTGTGTGTGTGTGTGTGTGTGCGTGCTATTAGCAACCCCCCTTTGCCACATACTGTTATAGGCATAGGAAGCCTCATCAGTGAGAACAAACAGGAACCACTTAAGGAGGTAATGTTCCCAGATGTGAGGCATAATGATACTTCTTGGCTCAGGGCAAACTTGACTGGCCCAAAGTTCAGAATGGACAGCCGATCAGTAGGTTCCAACCCCCTTGGGGATTGAACAACACTTCACAAGGGTCCCATATCAGACATACTGCATATCAGATATTTACATTGTGATTAATAACAGTAGCCAAATTACTTATGAAATAGCACCAAAATAATTTTATGGTTGGGGGTCACCACAGCATGAGGAACTGTATTAAAGGGTTACAGTATTAGGTAGGTTGAGAACTACTGGTAAAGAACCTGCTGTTTAAGTCCAAGAATCAGGAATCACAGCCTGGACTCAAAAACCATAGGAATTTATAGCTCAAACAGAATCTAGAGCATGGACACTCACATCCAAACTGAAGAACGGACCCTAGAACCCAGGGCCACAGAGTCCAAAGCCAGGTTCCTTAAGTCCAGAGCTCAGAACGTAGAACCCAGCTAGAACCCTGAAATGAGGCCTGCAGCCCAGTTGTCAGAATCCAGACCCTGGCACATGAGGCCTAGAACCTGGAATCTGGAACATGGAACTCCCACATCCTAGACCTAGAGTTTTTCAGAGGACAAGGTTCTAAGCCCAGAAGGCAGAGTAAGCTTACAAAAGGCCACGATGCCCTGGTTTATTTCCTTTCTCCTGTCAGCCCCAAACTGGAGCACCCATTCCCGGTACAGTGTTAGGCGCTGAGAGGCAGGCCAGGAGGAAGCCAGCAGGCGAGCGGCTTCCCTCTGTGAATGCGCAGTGCCAATGCATTCCTGGGATAGGTGTTCTAATGACTGCTGAATGGTTGTATTCTCCATGCACCCTTGCCTGTTGACCTTAGGGCTACCTGGGAGGAGTCATCGGGCCCGTGTGAGAGGCTGGTGTTATGAGAGGGTCACAGCTCAAACAAGCTCTAGGGGCTGCTGATCCCTGTTTGCAGTCCCTGCTCCAAACAATGATTTAGCCCCTCATTCTCCCACCACGCAGTCGTTACCCGGTAAACAATTGGGGTTTTGTGGACAAAAGCACCCAGACCGACCAGGAGCGACAAGCCTTGACCAGGGTGACCACTGTCTTTATGATCCCACAGGACCAGGCACCAGAGCGGCCAGGGCGGGGTGTGTTCCATCTGTTTGCACCTAGGAGGGGCTGGCCAACCCAGCCAAGCCCCTCCTCCCTTCCTCTTCTGGGACACTCCCAAGCCTAGCTTCTTACTCCCATTTTCCATGGTAGAAACCAAACCTCCTGCCTCCTGGCGACCTATTACCAGGAGAGAGAAGGGAACGAGTCTCGATGATCAATCCTAGGGCCTCAGAAGTGAACACAGCCCCCAGGAGAATGTTGAGAGGAATGCCTGTCATCTACCACAGGATAGGACAAGCTCACCTGAGGCAGGAAAGATGACCGACACCATGGAGCCATTCCCAAAGTGGGCGGATCCTCAATGAGTTTATGAGGTAAAAAAATTTGATTTTTCTCAAAAGACAAAAACAATTCCAAGCTTCATCTGGAAGAACAGGAAAGTCAACATAGTCAATCTGAAGCTTAGGAAAAAATGGAATGTGTGTACTGGGAGGGGGTTGTATACGGACATGTGAGTAAAACGTCATCCAAGATTCCCTGCCGATTGCTCCAACCTCTGCTTTCCCTGTGAGGGTGAACAGATGCCCGGGGACCAAGTGAGCCTAAAAACACACCATGACTTACAAGGCAGTTTGTGGTGCAGGTGGCACCCCAAATCTGTGCAAAGAGGTTCTCGATAGCCAATGATGAGCTTCAAGCTGAAAAACGGCCTCCAAACATAAGCTAGTTGGGAATAATTTCGCATCAGGAGACTCACATAAAAACACCCACTTCCAGTCATCTCTCAGTGAAGGACAGCTACTCTCACAACACCCAGACCCCGTTGCCAGGAGGCCCCTAGGTCCTACATCTACGTGGATCTTGGGGACATCGAGTCTTGACAATATCACATATGTCATATGAGATTTTAAAAAATGGATCTCTTTCTTGTATTTTGCAGTGCTGGGGATGGAACTCAAGTCCCCAAGTGCCAGGCAAGCCACACCCCAGCCCTAAAGATCTAATCTTGAGGCCAACTATTACAACCCACCCAGCTGGATCACCCAGTTTGGTTCCCTCCAGATAAACTTTCAGGACACCAGAAACAAATATAGAGGTTTCTTCTACATCAGAGTGGGGAAGCAGAATAATAAAAATGGACTCGAATACCCAAAGTAGTGTACAGACAGTTGTTCCAAGATGCGAACACTCCATGGCTGTCTAAATATCTTTCACTTTGGGCCCAGACATTTTCAGGACAGTCTTGATAAACCTGAAATCATGCACACTCAGAAGAAAGAAAGAAAGAAACAAAGAAACAAAGAAACAAAGAAACAAAGAAAGAAAGAAAGAAAGAAAGAAAGAAAGAAAGGAAGGAAGGAAAAGGAAAAGGAAAAAACCAAAACAATCCTGACTACAACAGAATAACAGAATTTGTCTGGGGTTACTGGAGCCATGATGGTTCAGAAGTTAAGCGCACTTGCTACAGTTGGACAGGCCCAGGGTTCCATTCCCAGCACCACAACATGGTGGCTCACAGCTGTCTGTAACTCCAGTTCCAGGAGGTCTGATGCCCTCTTCTAGCCTCCTCAGGCACTGTAATGTGTGAACATATATGCAGGCAAACACATGTATGAAAGAATATTTTGGAGGCTGGAGAGATGGCTCAGCACATGGCAGCTCACAGCTCTAACTCCAGTTCCAGGGGACCCAGCAGCCTCACACAGACACACATGCAGGCAAAACACCAATGCACATGAAATGAAAATAAGTATTTTAAAATTTTTAAAAATTAGAAGTTTTTAAAAAGTAGGGGGATGGCGAGAGAAGACACCTCAAAGGAGAAAGCGGGACTCGGCCGGTGTCTGCACAGCACATGTACAGTAGCACTTCTATAGCTATAGCCAGGGGTCCATCAAAAGATGGGACAGTAAGCTGAGGCTGTCCAAACAATGGTTGCCACTCGGCTCTCAGAAGTAAGGCAAGTTTATGCTACTTCATGGACACTATGCTCAGAAAAGCAAGCCCACAAGCATGAAGTCTCCAGAGCCAAGAGTTCACACAGATTCAGAGCCACACGGGGACACCAGCAGCTGTGGGGGAAGGAGTAGGGTTGGAGGGGAAGCTTTGATTGGGGAAGACAGGAACACTCTGAAGACTTAGGTTTTTGTTCTTATTTTAGGTGGTGTCTCATGTAGCCCAGGATGGCCTTGGGATTCCTGCTCCTCCTGGGAAGTTCTGGACCTGGCTGGTAGGGACAGCTTTGAGGCACTGTAAATGAGCTCCTGACACTGAGCTGCAAATCACAGAGACACCCATTTCCCTACATGTTAACAAAAGGTAACATTTATGTGACTGGAATTTTCCTTCTAGCTCCCAAATGTTCCATAACGTGCCTAAATAACTTCGGTAATAGAATGATGATCAAAATTAATTAGTAATGTTCAAAATAAAGCCTGCAGAAAGGGAGACAAGTTTGCAAAGTATGTAAAGACCCAGAATTACAAAACTAGAATAAAGAATGATAGAGTTAGGTGTGGTGGCACATGCCTTAAGTTCCAGCACTCGGGAGGCAGAGGCAAGCAAATCTCTGAGTTCAAGGCCAGCCTGGTCTACAGAGTGAGTTCCGGGATAGCCAGGGCTACACAGAGAGACTGGTCTCAAAAATAAGGAATGAAGACCACTCACCCACCTTCAAGAGAACAGGAAGAAGGTGTACAGAGGTCACCCCACAGACAGGCAAGTGCTGAGGGACGCGGTCTTACAGGTGTGGAGGCTGGGTGGTGTCTGTAAGCCCTATCAGGGTTACACCCCACACCCCCTGCCCACCCCACCCTGCCGCCACACCTTAGCATTGCTTCCTGAGGGGGTACTTCGATGGGCCATGCAGAAACTAAGCCAATGCATGACTGTCCATCCCTGGAAGCGACCACATCCTAGGGAAGGTATTTACTCATCCCTGAGCTACATCCCAGCCGTTTGCTTTTTCTTTCTTTCTTTTGAGATAAGATCTCACTGAATGTTCAGGCTGGCCTGGAAATTTTGATCCCTGTGCCTCCTGCCTCAGCCTGCTGAGCGTCTGGGATCACAGGCATGCACCAGCAGGTACAGTTATGATGGTGTTTTGTTTCTAAAACACGTGCAATAAGCCTGTCATGATGGTGCAATCCCGGCACTAGGTAGATGGTCACAAGTTCAAGGCTACCCTCTGCTACAAAGCAAGTGTGGAGCCAGCCTGAGACTTTGATAACCTGTCTCATAGAAACCGACAAGCCAGCTGTGCATACACAGCTAATTATATGTGCAATTCCTATGACTTAACATGTGAATCAAACTGTCATTTAAGTTAAAAAAGAAAAATATTTGTGTTGGCTTGGGATGTAGCTCTATGGTGGAGTGCTTACTTACCGTGTGGGAAGTTCGTGGTCCAACCCTCTGTTATGTAACAGTTTGCTCCAAGTTTGAAATACTCCATCCTGCAGGGAAGATCCTTAAACAGGAAGGTAAACAACTCAACATACATTCAGGAAGTCCCTGAAACTGACCAGATTCACTAGGCCCCTTGAGGTAAATCCAACCTGCAAGGAAGACTCCCAGGCCAGACCAGCGGCGTAGAAGGAACAGAAACCAACTAAGCTGCCTGGAAGAAGTTTAGACCAACTGAGGCATCTAGAAAGGACACTCTCCAAGCTGCCTACAGGCTGTGCCGTGTGCTCCAGGGTCCTAGCATTGTGAGCTGTCACCCATGCTGGGGTGGACTGGGATGAGGCAGCTGTCCTTGAGTCACTTCTGCTCCTGTGAGTGACCCCTCACCCATACTCCTGTAAGTCACCCCAATAAAACTCTCTGGTTCTCCAGGTTGGACTTTGGTGGATTCTGTCATAGGCGAGGAGACATGTGTGCTGTCCTGGACTCGCTGTCTCGGGTGGGTAGGTGTGTGAGTTGTCATAGACTACCTGTCACTGTGAACAGACCTGTGTGTTGCATCTCTGTGGGAAAAGCTTTGTCATACAACACCCTCAGCATCACATGTACAAATACATATAAGAAACACCCAGGAAGACACACAGCCAAGCAGAACAGTGATACGCCGAGGAGTGTGACCTGGGCATCTGGTCTGGAAGGACCCTTTTACTTTACAGACGTGCTAACAACTGTGATGTCCTTTACATAACATTTTGTCATTTAAATAGCAGGGAATCATGAGCCTCAGCTGTGACAAAAGAACCTCTCTATAGCCCTTGAAACCTCCCATGTCAAGACATACCTGACTTCTTCCTTGGGGACTCTTAGGGCCTCCCTGGAACAGTGTTACTCAGGGTTTGGGAGGGGGAATGGGCAGACAGACAGACAAGACTTGCCTCTTCATTGATGTAAAGCTTTGAACAAGTTGCTTAGCCACTCTGAAACCACGTCAGTAAAACAATGCAGAACCTTACAGATCTGCTGTAAGGACAATGTGAGCAGGTCCAGAGCCCTCAGAGGCCATCCAGCTAGGAGAGGTCCTTCTGGTTCCCGCCTCCAGGCTCCGGGCAATAAGTACCTTCCTTCCAGGCACTTTTCCTGCAGGACTAAAGCCTGCCTGTGGGATGCAATGGGATGGTCATGGGCATTCAGTGAGCCTGTCTATGCTGGCCCACTCCTGCCCCCCTCCCCAGCTTAGGTTGGGTTCATTAAGCTGGGGAAACTGAGGCCAGTGGGAAAAGGGATAGCTCAGTTCTTGGACAAAACGTGATGGCTGTGGTAGGGTTGCTCCCTGGAGAGGGTGGAGGGTCCTGCCAGCTGCTGACCCAGCCCATCTGTCCTTCCAGGCCCACGCCCAGCACACACTGGGACTCCCCAGGGAATCCTGGGAAAAATGCCGCTCTCCCCTCTGCCTACCTCCCCTCAGTGTGGGTGGGCGGTGCTTCTTTTCAGGGTGTGAAGCAAGCTTAAACTCGGAAAGGATGCTGATCCAGCCCCCCCACCCCAGGATGGAGGACCAGGGGCCTTATACCCCCTCCAGCTCCTGCCCCAGCCCACTCACTTCTAGAACATTCACGCCTACTCCTACTCTACTTCTCTCTCACAGGTAGATTGTCCCAGAGCTTTCTTTTATATTAGAAATATTTCAGCTGGGCGTTGGTGGCGCACGCCTTTAATCCCAGCACTCGGGAGGCAGAGGCAGGTGGATCTCTGTGAGTTCGAGGCCAGCCTGGTCTACAAAGTGAGTTCCAGGACAGCCTCCAAAGCTACAGAGAAACCCTGTCTCGAAAAACCAAAAAAAAAAAATATTTCAGACATCCCAAAACATAGGTGGCATAATCACTGCAGTTCTTGGTATGTCTCATGGCACACTTACCAACTTAAACAGTGTGCACAGGTGCTGGAGAGATGGCTCAGAGGTTAAGAGCACTGCATGTTCTTCCAGAGGTCCTGAGTTCAATTCCCAGCAACCACATGGTGGCTCACAACCATCTACAATGAGGTCTGACGCCTTCTCCTGGGGTACAAGCATGTACACAGATAAAAAAACTATGAATAATAAATAATTTAAAAAACTGTGCACAATTTTACCTCATGGTTTCTGTTGCCAGGAGCCTGTGTAGCCAGCTAGGTTTCTAATCAGCAGGGTTCCCTGCTATCCCAGAAGGCTAGATCTGAGGGCAAGCCCCAGCTAGCACTCACTGGAAGCTCAGGCTCTGCTGAGAGGACTCATGAAATGCTTGTCAGATCCCTTAAGTTAAACCCTGCTCACTTCTTCAAGCTGTAGGATTCCTGTAGCTTCTTCCAGAGAGACACCTGTGTCGCCACCACAGTGGAGTCTTACCTAACCAGCAGTGACCCCATGAATGACACCCACATACCAGTGCATGGCAGTGGGATCTGGGGGGCTGGAGGAATCTGACCTCACCAGGGCCACCAAGGTTCCCTTTCCTCAATGGGGGGCCAGGGCTTCCTCACCCCTCACTGTGGGAATCCTGAAGATGGACTTGCATCTTTCTGCATGTTTTCATATTTGACAAATGTGGGAGATCTCTCCTCACCTGCGGAGGATGCAGCCCAAGATTCTCATGGGTCCCAGAAACTTATCTGGAGGCGAGGTGTTTTTCCTAGGATAGAGTTCAGTTTGTAAGTGAGGCTCAGTAAAAGATGAACAATGGCAACAATAAAACAGAACAGTCACACAACAAAACCACCAACATCACCATCCTCTCTCCAGCCAATAGTGAACAGGATGTGTGTATCTGAACGTTGACTCCCTGGCTGCAGCTAAGTGACTGACAGTGGGTAACACATCACAGTGGATACACTGGATAAAGGATGCTTTATGTTCTGGGTAGAATGGGAGTAAGGGATGATGATATCAAGCTACTTAGAATGGTGCATAATTTAAAGCTTATGAATTACTTCTGGAATTTTCCATCTAATATTTTCCAACCAAAACATCAGGTAAGGGGGAGGCTGTCATTGAAGTGCCATATACTAAAAAACAAACAAACAAACATTAAAGAAACACTTTTGTTTTTTGTTTACCATCACATTTGAGATATTCACATTAATATATAAAGTTCTGGTTCATTCCCTTTGTTGCGATATAAAAGTTCACAGCATAAAGTTCATGTGGTCCATTTGCTCAATTTCCATAAGATGCTTCTGTGAGTGAGCTGGAGAGATGGTGCAGTGATTAAGAGCACTGGTTGCTCATGCAGAGGACCCAGTCTTGGTTTCCAGCGCCTGCATACATGGTGGTTCACAACCATCTCTCTCTCTCCAGTTCCAGGGAATCTGACGACACCCTCTTCTGACCTCCACCGGCACCACACACGTGGTGCCCAGATGCACATGCAGGCAAGATACCCATACACTCACATAAAATCAATTTTTTTTGGTTTTATGAGACAGGCTTTCTCTGTATTGTTTTGGAGGCTGTCAGTCCAGCCCGGCCTTGAACTCACAGAGATCTGCCTGTCTCTGCCTCCCAAGTGCTGGGATTAAAGGTGTGTGCCACCACCGCCCAGAAAAATCAATTTTTTTTGAGACAGGGTTTCTCTGTAGCTTTGGAGCCTGTCCTGGAACTGCTCTGTAGACCAAACTGGCCTCGAACTCACAGAGATCCGACTGCCTCTGCCTCCTGAGTGCTGGGATTAAAGGCATGTGCCACCACCACCTGGCCTTGATTAATCAATTTTTAAAAAGGGCTTAAGTGATCCGTTCTGTTTACTGCTACATACAGGGCACAAGGAGTGCTGCTCTCTCTGCGTCCATGTTACGTTCCTCTGGGGTCAGAGTTTGGAGGCTCACTGAGACAAGGGTCTTCATATACTTGACTCTCTAAGCTAAAAATTTCCCACCTCGTCTTTTTGTTTCATACTAACCAGCAGAGAATGGTGATACCAGGTGCCCTAGTTCCGTCCACTCTTGGTAATGCCCAGACTTGGTAGGTATCACGCTCAATACCATTGCTGCCGAGGATCCTCCTGGAACCTGCAACTGATCTACCTTCCTCCTACTCCAACTCTCTCCAAGGCCTCCTATCTCAGTACACTCTCCAAGCTTAGACCTGGCCCTGAACCTCTGGTCTCCTCAGGTACCTGTCCCGGCCCCTCTGCTGGAGCCACTCACACTTCCGGTCTTCGTTTCACCGAGAAACAAGCCACCCCCAGATCCTGTGTAATCAAACTGTCCACAGTGAAGACAATACTGCCCTTGGCACAGAAAAACAGTGCAGAACTGTGTTTAACAGCTGCGTGGTCTAGGGCTTGGGACAAGTTCTTTCTTCTTGCTGCTGACATTGGGCTTAGTCACTATGTGGAGGGTGGTATGGCTACCCTGGATCAGGGATGTCAGCAGCATCTTCCCCCAGTTACTGCCAAACGCCCCTGGGAGAAGAGCTATTATCCCTGCTTTACAGATGAAATGAGGAAACCGAGTCACAGCAGTTAAGCGACTTCCCCAAGAACACACAGCTGTGAAGTGACAGAGCTGGGATTCGAACCTAGGTCGTCCGACTTGGCAGTCTACACCCTTAGTCACTGTATGACCTTATCCCTCAGTCTATCTGCTCACCCTTTCATCTATTCCTCATGGATGCCTGCCACCCAGTCCCATCACTCACCTGTCGCTGTCAATCCAGCAACCCATCCATCCATCCCTGTCACCCATCCATCCTGAAGGAAAGGCAGTTGGCTACCTCAGGCCCCGAGAGGAGAGGAGGCCCCACAGCTGCCCATCTGGTGGAGCGGACGGGTGGGTGGGCTGCCCCCATAGGCAGGGTGCAGAGGCTGGGGGGAATTAGGCAAGTTCCTGCCAGGACCATCTAATTAGGGATTCTGGCGATAAGCAGATAGCATCGGGGTGATTAGAATCCTTTTAAAAAGCCACTCCATTAATTAGAGAGACAGAGAGGCCTCTGGCTGCCTAATCAGCCTCCATCAGCTTGCCTGGGGAGGGCTTTCTAGGGCTGCTGTGTGACCTTGGGTGTGCCTTGCCCTCTCTGGGCCTGCTTCTGGACTGAGCTGGACTCTGCTGAGATCACCTAATCATCTGAGGTCCTTTCTCTTCCCAGAGTCCTTTCGGAGACTGTGGATTTGAGGTGTCAGATGCTGACTCCCCAGAGAGGGGGAGGGGAGGGGATCTCACCATCCCACTAGTGAATGAGGACAGAGATTTACAGAATAGAAGTGACCTATCAGTTGTGGAATCAGGAGCACAGGGGCTGGCTAATGTTCCTGCCTATTCACCGCAGTCTACACTCAAATGTTATGCTCCTTCCACTTGGACCCCCAAACACTTTAGGCTTTGGAACCTCACAGGACATTAGTTTGTAGAATTCTGTGGAAGAGGAAGTCACCTCAGCATGCTGCCACCAAGCGGCTATCCAATTCTAGGTTCTGTATCTCCCTTCATGGCCCACCTAGGGGGTCTCCACTGTCAAGGTTCCTTTAGCCCTGAGAGACCCTGGATGTGTTGATGCCCTAAGTCATTGTGAGTGTCCTCTGTCCTGGGCAGTCCCTGAGCCTCAGCGTTTTTGGGGCAGATAGATTCCATCTGGAGGAGAGGTCCAGGAGTTAGCAGCAGGCAGAGGTTCCTCCTGGGAGATGAGTAGGACAGCACCAGAGACGCCAGCAAGACAGGAGAGGTGCCTGGCTGGGGCCGGAGGGGACGACAGGATTTCAGCACACATCATCACCCTGAATCTCTTGAACTCAACGCCGTAAGCACACCAAGGCCCTGATGACAGCATATGGGAACCTCAGACTGCTCCAACACCTACTGACCTGGCTGTCAGCATCGTGTAAACCCCCGGTCATGATGCCCATCTCTTCAGTTCCAGTTAACATCAGTGACTCCCTCTGACACTATAATGCACCTCTATTACTGCCACTGTCCCTACCTCCATCAGTGCCACTACTCCATGGCCACCCTCAGACATCATCACCATCGCTATCATCATCTCTGATGGTGTCACTGTCATTGCCTTCCCCTGATCACGACTTCAGCATCACCACCCCCTCTACTGTTTCAACCAAGATTCACCACCACCATGTCCTCCCTCGGCATCACCTTCACCACCACCATAATCACCACCACCGTCACTTTCTGTCACCGCCATTGCTACCACCGTCACCACCATCTCCATCGGCGCCACCGTCGTCACCCTTCCCATCACCGCCATCAGCTCCATCACTGCCATCAGCACCACAATCATCACCTTCTTCACCATCTTCACCTTCACAATTACCCCATCATGCCCTCCTCCATCAGCCCACTGCTGCCCCCGCCCCAGCCCACCATCCCTATCACCACTACCTTCTCCTCCTCCATCATCGAGCACACATCCTCACAGTCACCCATCATCCTCTGTGGCCACCTAGAGTTTCCTGTAGAGTTGCTTCCTCCCTCCCTCAACCCGACTCTCCAGCAGTTGCCATGGGACTTGCATAATCATCTGGCAGGAGGAGGGGCTTTCCTACCCGGCAGATAGTAGCCTTCACCAGGTGGTGGGCAAGGGCTGTCACCACCCACCGACAGGGGATTGCAGTGACTCCTGGGGCTTGGCATCCTCAGTCCCTCTGCCAACCTCGGGTCAGAACAGCTTCTCTTCAGGGCTGCACTGATGAGGCCTGGGAGGCGTAGTCCCAGCAACCCCTACAGTGCGGGCAGATGAGGAAGGCGCATCCTGAGTGTTTCTCACTACTGGGTGTGGCGCTGCACCTTAGCTCTTTTTTTTGTTTGTTTGTTTGTTTTTTTTTTGTTTTTGTTTTTCGAGACAGGGTTTCTCTGTGGCTTTGGAGGCTGTCCTGGAACTTGCTCTTGTAGACCAGGCTGGCTTCGAACTCACAGAGATCCGCCTGCCTCTGCCTCCCAAGTGCTGGGATTAAAGGCATGCGCCACCAACGCCCGGCTGGTGCTGCACCTTAGCAAGCTGGGCCACACATGGCTTCCACTCCTTGCCATCCTCATGGGAGTGTCACAATCACTACCATCTCCATGGCCTCTGTCATTACCTCCTGCTCCTCCCATCGTTTCCATCACGAACATGGCTATTACCATCACTACCCCAATGGAGGGTACAGCCATCTCTACCTGAAGCCGCCAGCGGCAGCCTGGGTTAGTGAGGACAGGTGCGGAGCATGGAGCCTGTCCTGCTCTTGGTGAGATGAATGTGAGTGATAGTGACAGTTACCTAAGTGTCTCCAGACTCTGTTGTTGTCCTTCCTGGCCTGTGGACTCAAGAGAACTGCTATGTCTCCTGCAAGGTGTCTGCAACTGGGACCCTGGGAGATGAAAGAATGAGGGGGGGATAATGGAGACAAAGACTCAAAGGTGCAGAGGAGGGAGGAGGAGGAGGAGGAGGAGGAAGGAGGAAGGAGGAGGAGGAGGAGGAGGAGGAAGGAGGAGGAAGGAGGAGGAGGAGGAGGAGGAAGGAGGAGGAGGAGGAGGAGGAGGAGGAGGGAGGAGGAAGGAGGAGGAGGAGGAGGAGGAGGATGGCGTCTTAGAAGTCTTGGAAGTTCAGTGTCTTATTGACACTCTGAGGAGTTGAGTCCGCTGCTTCCATCTGCTGCGGGAGATCTCAATGCTGGTACTCCAGACAGAATCCAATAGCAGAGCACAAGCCAAGGACCACAAACCCGGAGACTTCCCAGGGCTGCTGTGAGAGCAGCACCAGTGACACCACAGAGCTCTACTCTCCGATAGCAGCCTGCTGTCCCATGCTCCCATGGCGCTCGATGTCCTTGTAGCTGTGAACCTCAGGGTCTGTCCGCCCCTTCACACCACCTACTCCAGAGGACAAATGTCCTCCAGTTCTAGGATGAGCTGCTTTCTACATTTCTCCTTCCATGTGTGGGATCAGGAGGTGGCGTGTGGCTGGGGGCTCCTGCTCCGTCTTCCTTCACCTGCACTTTGTATGAACCACCTTCTATACCTGAGTTAAACAGAATGCATCTTCTCACTGGCCACCCCAATCCAGATGGTCCTAGTTCCAGTTTCCTTCTCCCTCCAAATTTGCTGTGTGACCCTAAGCTGTGTCTATACGTCTCTGAGCCTCATACATTAAGCAGATCTTTGCTGATCATGCACTGTGGGCTGGATCTGTCCCAACCTTCCTGATGTCTGAGAATCTAGAGATAACAGGCCACAAATATCACTGCCCCTGGCGCTTGGGACCTCTTCAACCCATCGCAGCAAGCAGACTCGGCTCAGACAACTGATCCCAGGAAGCCCTTGCTCCTTCTGCTGACAACTGCCATCTAACACTGGCGCCACTGACCCAGTCCCGTAGCTGACCCTGCCTCTCCTCTTTGGCTCCCGAGCGCAACAGCCTCCACATAGACAAACTCACACTTCAGGCCTTCCGCAGCGATCAGGACTCCCACAGCCCTGTGATGAGTAGAGCTTGGCTGAGGGGGTGGGGACTTGCTACTCAGTGTTTATGTCACAAAGGGCCCTGGTCCCAGCTTGGAAGGGGCCACCTAGGCCTAGCCCAGAGCGACACTGTCCCTACCCCCTTCCCCTCTCAGTGGAGGCTCCACCTGTCCCTGAGAACCAGAAGGATGGAAAGCTGAACCCTTGCCACCCAGAGCCAGCAGATTCCAACAAGTCCCCCACCCAAGGGAGGACCCCAGCCACTTGCCTCAGCCCTCCTCAGCCCTCCTTAGTCTGGTCCGGTCCCCTCCACCCTTGCCATGGCCAACTACTATGAAGTGTTAGGTGTGCAGTCGAGTGCCTCCCCTGAGGACATCAAGAAGGCGTATCGAAAGCTGGCTTTGCGTTGGCATCCCGACAAGAACCCTGACAACAAGGAGGAGGCCGAGAAGAAGTTCAAGCAGGTGTCTGAGGCCTATGAGGTCTTGTCGGACTCCAAGAAGCGCTCTGTGTATGACCGGGCAGGCTGTGACAGCTGGAGGGCTGGTGGCAGTGGCAATGTAACCCATGGCAGTCCCTTTGGTGCTGGCTATTCCTTCCGCAATCCTGAGGATATCTTCCGTGAGTTTTTTGGGGGAATGGACCCTTTCTCCTTTGATTTCTGGGACGCCCCATTCAGTGACCGAGGACGGAACCACGGTTTACGTGGGGCCTTCTCTTCGGGCTTCGGTGAGTTCCCATCGTTCATGGAGGCCTTCTCGTCCTTTGATACCCTGGGCCGTGGCGGGGGCAGCCGCAGCGCCTTCTCGTCCACTTCCATCGGTGGCTCCAGTTCAGGTAACTCAGGGTTCAAGTCAGTGATGTCATCCACGGAGATAGTGAATGGCCGCAAGGTGACCACCAAGCGGATTGTGGAGAACGGCCAGGAGCGTGTGGAGGTGGAAGAGGATGGAAAGCTCCGGTCAGTAACCATCAATGGCAAGGAGAAGGTCATGCGGGTGGACAACAAGTGAGGGCCACCTGGCCCTGCCCTGCACCAGGCACCATCCATCACAAGGGGGCCACAGTAGTCGCAAGCTAATCATTAATAAATAAATGTGCTAAGTGAGTTCAAGTAGATACCTCTCCCAACCTCGGGTGGGGTGTGTCGCCGTCGGCCCACTGTGTGCCTGCCACAGCTCCACAGACACACTCAGGAGCTTGTGGCCTCTATGCCCAGCACCAGCTGCTTCCCACAGGGCGCCTAGGACCAGGCCTTTGGGTGGTTGTTGATCCCTACACCATCCTGTCACCCTCATCCCTCTCTTACCTGCTCCTCCCATGTCCCTCCTCCAGGATGACCACCATCCTCACGGCCCTCCTACTTAATCCCCACTTTTCCTTAATCACTAATAGAGTGGCAGTCATCCACCCCAGACCCAGGCTCTCATGTCTTTCTTTCCTACCCTGCTTTCAATCTTCCCTCCTTTTCTGCTCTGACCTCATCCCCACCATGAAGCCCTTGTGGTCTGACCTCAACCACCTCCCTGGCCTCAGCATCCCCATGTTCCCCCTGTGCCTCCCATCATGCTTCTGTCTGCAAATACTCCAGGGTCCTTGCATGGGTAGCAGGTGAGATCCCTGTCCCCACCATGAGTATGTTTATGTTTGGTCCCGGGAACCATGGGGTGGGCTGGGAGCAGCGGTGTCACAAGCTGAGAGATGGGCAGGGAGAGTCTGTATCAGGTCTCCCGGAAAGATCTTCCGAGATGCTGACAACTTGAGAAAAGCATTCTGGGTGGTGGGAACAGCGTGTGAAAAGGTCCTGGGGCAGGAGCAGGCTGCACTGTTGGAAGAACAGGAAGAGACAAGAGAAGTAAATGTAAGCAACTGTGCAACACCCCCAATTTTCACATATCAGGGTTCTTGACTCTATATTATGGAAGAGATAAAGGGAGGGGTTACAGAATTGACAGGCAGCTGAGCTCCATGCTGGGTATTAGGGTAGAGGGACCAGCCTTTAAACAGTGCCCACGGTGATTATAGGGCAATGGGGCTGCACCAACCAACCCCTAAGGACTCCAGAGTTAACACTGGCTAGTGACAGAGTGTCGCTCACTGTCAGGTAGGGGACCAGCCCTGTGGGTGCTGAGCGCATGAGCTGAACAGACATTGCTTGCATGTGAACTCCAGCTTCGGAAGGGGTCCAGCCGGTGGTGTGGAGAGGAAGTGACATGCAAAGTTCCAGGGCACAGAAGGCCAAGGGGTGTCCTGGTGCTCATGGGGAGAAGCGACAGGAGGCTGGGAGGTGTTAAGAGAACCTGGTTAGCTGAGGGAACCAAGGAAGAATGTATCCATTTCTCCACACAGTGCTAGGAAGAGGAGGAGTGCAGGCCACCGAGAGGTGGGCCCAGGAATCGTCTTCCTGTTCTGGGAAGCTAGGTATCACCCCAAGATTTCCAGGGCCAGTCGAGTGCTGCAAGTGTGGTGGCCAGAAGCTGTTGACCCCGAGGCCTGACCTGGGTCCCATTCCCTGGAACATGCCTCAGAGGCCCTCAGCCCGCCGGCAGCTGGAGGCAGCTAACCACGTTACTGGTTAGGGCAAGGGAGCCGGGGCACACAGAAGGCAGAGTCCAAGCTCCCAGCCCTGCTTGGGGACTAACTTTATCAAAGTCCCAGGGCACTAACCACCCGACCTCTGCCCCTGTTGACCTGCTAATGTCCCTGATCACTGACCAGCTACGGCTGCCTCAAGTGGGCCTGCTTAGGGCAGGCAGCTGCTGGGCAAATCCAATTACAGCCTAGCAGCGCCAAACAACCACACACTCCAGTTGAGTGCCCAGAAGAGATCTGGGTGCTTGCCAGACTCGGGGGTCTGTCCCAGTATCCCAAGAACATTGTGCCAGGGACCACTAACTTCCCCCTTCCTGAGTCTCACCTGTGTCCTCTCTCCCTCCGGCACAGACGAGATATGGCATTCCCAACCCCCCTCAGGGCTGCCTTGGGTCCTCAACCCTGAGGCCCTGTAGGCTGTGGAGCCTGGTGGGCTACCACAGGGTAAAGGGATGCTCCAGAGAAGAGACAGAATCTGAAGCTGCTTCAGGGCCTTTGGTTCTCCCCACAGTGTTGCTTGGCATCACACTGTCCTCTGCTGCGCCACACTTCTGACAGTCATGGGCAGTGTCCACGCTGGTTCTTCTGTGGGAATCCCATCTCAAAGTGCACCTGTGTGGGAGTAAGGCCTGCTAGTATCTTCCCGGCTCCCTAAATTCCTCCTGAGACCCCACTCTCTGTCGTCTCCCGGTGGTCTCAACAAGCCTCTCTGGGCAGGGCGTTCTGCCCAAGATAAATGTCTTCTAGAGCCCTTCTGGTCTAGAGTGAGGACTGGCTGCCCGTGTCCCATCCATGTCTTACCTCCCTGAAAGGTACATTGTGGTGTACCACATTGTACCTGTCCCCATGCTATCTACCTGGACATCCTACCCCTTCCCCGCCCCTGTTTGTTTACTCTCAACCCATAGCCAGAGAAGTTTCTAGAAACCTAAAAGCGAAAACTAAGAGCACTCTGAGACACTCACTGGTATAAGCCATCATTGCTTACCCTCTCTGGAGGCCACGAGTCACCTGCCCCACAACCTCTGGCTTCCCCTTCCTCTGCTCCAGCCTCACCATCGTCCTCACTGCCTGCGCCCAGCACAGTCCTGCCTCAGGACATTTGCACAGGCTGTGCCCTCTGTCACAGCCTGCTTCTTCCCAGATTCCTTGCAGCTTGGCCTCAATCCTCTGCTCTCTCCCCCTTCCCAGCTTCTGTATAGTGTATCCTGTTTGGACTCTCAACTCCAATTCATCCACCCATCTTTTCCAGTCTCCAAGGCCCTTTCAGCCTCACTCTCTGCTACATCCTGGAGAGGTCCTGACTGTCCAAAAATGCCTAGCTCTGCTGGGGAGAAGGCAGAGCACTGATGTGAATTGTAGAGTGTGTTACATGCAGGATACTATGGCCTCGGCAGTGAGGTCCAGGAGAACAAGCTAAAACCTCTGCTCTG